AATCTATTTGAAATGAATACTATTTTTTTCGTGTATTTAATCCTTTCGAATTCCGTTTTTATCTTTTTTATTTATCCTTTTTTTTTAGATTAGTTAAAGACAATTTTTTCACATAATGATATGATACAAAGAAAATATAAGAAATAGGCCTTAAATACCAATTAAAATAACAATTAGAATAACAATTAAGCAAAAATTTGTATTCGATAAATAGCAGATTAGGAAACACGAATAAAAATATCTCATTCTCCTCCCAAAGATAATAAAACTAATAACTAAATAAACAAACAAACAAGAACGAAAAAAGAAGAAGAAAAGATAAAGAAAAAGAGAAAGTGTAAAAATTGCTGTGTCATGATCACTGAAAACCAGAGTCATTGGAAGAATTAAATCAATATATTTTTAATGAACAAAACCACTGATAAGGATAACATGATCATTAACAAAAATGTATTGTAATTAACAAAGGTTGATTATAATGACATTAATAATAATTGTCATGATAATAATGATAATAAGGATAGCAATAATGGCAATAATATTAGTATTAACAGTAATTAAAATGGTAGTACTGCTACTAATTACAATACTGCTAATAATAATGCTAGTGATAATAATTATCATAATAATGATGAAAATAATAATAGTAATAATAAGGATAATAGTAGTAGTCATAGTAGTAGTAGTAAAATTGATAGTAATATTAATAATTATGGTAATAAAAATAATAATAATAGTTGGAATAATAACAATAACACTAAAAATGATAATGCTGATAAAAATAACAATGATAATAATAATAAAATATCATACATATTTATAATGTTAAGAATTATAGTAATGATAATATTAAGAATGACGATAATAATTTTTATAACAATGATGATAATGGTTGAAAAAAAATCATAATAACATGATAAATAAAATCATAATAACATGATAAAAAATCATAAAATCATGATAACATAATTCAAAAAAGAACAATAAAAATAATGAAATTGCTATTGATTATAACACTTTTAAGAGTCATAATTATAATAGAAATAATTGGAAATCTTGATATAGAACGCAAGATAGACAAAAAGCTAAGCTGTAAAATTTAGAGGAGCGAGGAAGGATAAGCGAAAGGGAAAAGTGAGTAAAGGAGGGAAATAGAGAAAATGAAGGAAGGAAGGAGTGAAAGGGAGGAATAAGAGAAGGGAGGAAGAGGAAAGAGTAAAGGAGGGAAATAGAGAAAATGAAGGAAGGAAGGAGTGAAAGAGGGGAATAAGAGAAGGGAGGAAGAGGAAAGAGTAAAGGAGGGAAATAGAGAAAATGAAGGAACGAAGGAGTGACAGAGAGGAATAAGAGAATGAAGGGGTAAAGGAGGGAAATAGAGAAAATGAAGGAAGGAAGGAGTGAAAGGGGGGAATAAGAGAATGAAGGGGTAAAGGAGGGAAATAGAGAAAATTAAGGAAGGAAGGAGTGAAAGAGGGGAATAAGAAAAGGAAGGAGGAAGAAGAAGGAGCAAAAGAGGGAAATAAAGAAAAAGAGAGAAAGAAGGAATGAAATGGGGGATTTAGAGAATGGAAGAAGAGGAAAGAGTAAAAGAGGGAAAAAGAGAAAAGGAAGGAAGGAATGAAATACGGGAATAAGAGAAGGAAGAGAGAGAAAGAGACAGAAGAAGTTAAAGATGAAAAATAGGGAAGTTAAGGGAATTTAAAGATAAAAGAAAGAAAAAAAGAAGAAGAAATAGAAAGAGAAGAGAAAATAAGAGGATAATAAAAAAGAGGGAAAAATGTAAGACGAAGAAAGAGAAAGAGAAAGAAAGAGAGAGAGAGAGAGAGAGAGAAACGAAGACAAGAACGCGAGAAAATGATCAACAAAGAAAAAAAAGAGAGAGAAAGAGTGAAATAGGCATTACCTGCGAATGTTTTTTTTTTTTAGGGGGGGGGGGGTGAAGGCAGCTAAATCACAAATAACGTTCTAAAACATCAAAGTCACGCAGCACTGAAAATAAAGGAAGGAGGAGAGGAAGGAAAGAAGAGGAAGAGAGGAGGGAAGGAGGGAAGAGGAGGAGGGGGGGGAAGGAGAATGGAATCACCCCCCCTCCCCTCAAACACACACATAACGTGCTTGCAACAACAACAACAACAACAATAAACTCATGACGTCACTCGTATTGTCCACAAAACAAATACAAAAAGAAAAATGTGTATAAAAAAAAAATCACATTAAAAGAATATATATACGGAGAGGAAGAGGAAGAAAAGGAAGGAGAGAAGGAAGAGGAGGAAGAGATGATGAAGGAGGAGAAAGAGAAAGAATACAGAACAGGAGGATAATAATAAAGGAGAAAAAGAGAAGAGGTAAGAGGACGAGAAGAAAGTAGAAAAGGAAAGAGAATAAAGGAAAAATAAATAAAGACGAATATAGAAGAAAAAACAAAAGAAGAAGAAATAGAAAACGGGAAGAGGAAGAGGGAGAGGAGAAGAGGGGAGAACCAGGAAAAAAGGCGAGGGGGGGGGGGGCAGGAGAAAAGGAGAGGGGGGGGGGGAGGAGAGACCAGGAGAAAATGAGAGGGGGGGGGAGGAGAGACCAGGAGAAAGGGAGAGGGGGGGGGGAGAGACCAGGAGAAAAAGAGAGGGGGGAAAACAACCAGTAGAAAAGGAGAGGGGGGGAGAACAAGGAGAAAAGGAGAGAGAGGAGAGGGGGGGAGGAGGACCAGGAGAAAAGGAGAGAGGGCGGTGTGGGGGGGGGGGGCGGGGGAGGAAGAGCACAAGGTGTACACCAACGAAGGGACAGCTGGGGTCTGTGCCAAGGAACCGCACGTGCAAAACAGCTGCTATGGAGCTTGCTGGGGGGCTCAGAGGACATGGGGTTCCTTGAAAGCACCTGCCGAGACTGGGGGGGGGGGGGGGGAGAGGAAAAGGGGGGAGTGGGGGAGGAGCTAGCTGAGGCGAGAGGGACCGATGGCCAGGGGTGGGACCGGAGAGAGGGCAAGGGGGAGGGGGGAGGGGGAGGGGTTATGGGGTGATGCTGCATCGTGACGGGGTAGGGGGGGTTGGAGGGGGGGGAAGGAGAAAGACAAATATACTGCTAATATACGTGATAACAACCTCGACATATAAGGTTGTGAATGAATTATATATATATATATATATATTATTAATCTCTCACTCTCTTTCTAATATTACATAAATATACAGTGACATGGAGTACAGTCACTACAAATACAGTTAATATATGTATACATACTTTTAACACCTTCATTATAGAATATATTCATATAAATGTTTATTCACATAAACAATATCAATTGCTTACAGTTTAAAGAAATGATTCCTAACTGTATTACATTGGGACAGATATGTAAATGAACTTTCATAATCACATTTGCCTAAGACTAACCAATTATTTCGTTAATCAGTAAACCGTCAATTGGTAATTTGAAGAAGCGAAAAGACTTCAATTACTTGATTAGGAACTTCCCTATAAACGATTATTTTTGGTATAACGTCCTATTTACACAGTTGTGCTCATAAACGAGCACACATATTCATGTACACTTACATTAAACGCGCTCAGGTATTCGGCATTACACATTTATACAAACTAAACACACACATACATACATTTATATATATACATACATATATATATATATATATATATATATATATATATATATATATATATATATATATATTTACATATACTTATACACACACACACACACACACACACACACACACACACACACACACACACATATATATATATATATATATATATATATATATATATATATATATATATATTATATATATATATATATATATATTATATATATATATGTATATATATAAATAAATAAGCAAATAAATAAATATACATACATACATATGTATATATATATATATACATATGCATATGTAACTATGTATATATATATATATATATATATATATATATATATATATATATATATATATATATATATATATGTATATATACGCATATATGTGTATATATGTACACACAAACACACACATCTATATATATATAATGTATATATATATGTATATATGTACGTGTGCATTTGTATATATATATAATATGTATACATATATATATATATGTGTGTGTGTGTGTGTGTGTGTGTGTGTGTGTACATATATATGTATGTACGTATACATACATATATACATATATATGTGTGTGTGTATTTGGTTGTGTGTGTGTGTGTGTGTGTGTGTGTGTGTGTGTGTGTGTGTGTGTGTGTGTGTGTGTGTGTGTGTGTGTGTGTGTGTGTGTGTGTGTGTGTGTGTGTGTGTGTGTGTGTGTGTGTGTGTGTGTGTGTGTATGTATATGTATATGTATATATATATATATATATATATATATAT